CACAAAAACAATATGTGAAATTATATATGTGTTTTCCGATGGTCTTAGGCGACCCCTGTGAAAGGGTCGCGACCCACAGGTTGAGAACCACTGAAAGTGATTCCAGGGAACTAGGTTTAGATCCGGAAGAGTCCAGATGGAATATGAATGTATATGTGCTTAAGTATATTTCTGACCACTGAAATGTAACCGACAGTAATTTATTTTGCTAGAATTTGAAACTTAGATATTATTGAGAGTTACATGTCATTTGTTTTCTGGTTTCTTATAGTTGTTGGCATTGCAGTAATTTGCACCTGTGTGTACAAATGTCTTCAAAAAGGAACAAAAGGGGTAAATTAAACATGTTTCTTCTAATTTATTTGTCCTTCTCACTCTTGAAATACTTTTGTCACTTTTGTTTTTAAAATGTGCTACCTTAGAGTACCATCCAAATTACATTTCTTTACTAAAATTATTTTCAGCTGCTTTTAATATCAATGCAACGAAAGTAATTGGTGGAGAATTATTTCAGGTATTACAGCTGTTAAATTTTTTAAGTTTAGGTTCTGCAGCAAATCATGGACCATGATGAGCCCTTTCCAACTCTAGGTATACCCTATTTTCTAAAGGGAGTAGTGGCCAAGATTAAATTTAAAATAGTTCACTGCTCTACATGCAGACGTGAACTATTTTAAATTTAATCTCTTTCATATGTGGAAGCTGATGAACAAAATAGATCCACAGACATAGAAGCATTGCCCTAGCCAGTTTGACTCAGTGGATAAAGCTTCAACTCGTGGACTGAAGGGTCCCAGGTTCGATTCCAGTCAAAGGCATGCACCTTGGTTGCAGGTTCCCCAGGGCTGGTCTGGGTGTGCAGGAGGCGACCAATGGACGTCTTTCTCCCTTCCACTCTTCCTAAAAATATCCTCAGATGAGGATTAACAACAGACTGTTGAATCTCAGTGGGAAGGCAGGGTTGAGTGAGAAGAGATTAACCAAAGGATTTATGTGCCTAGCCCAGTGATGGCAAACCTATGACATGCGTGTCAGAGGTGACACGCGAACTCATTTTTTTGGTTGATTTTCCTTTGTTAAATGGCATTTAAATATATAAATAAATATCAAAAATATAAATCTTTGTTTTACTATGGTTGCAAATATCAAAAAATTTCTATATGTGACATGGCACCAGAGTTAAATTAGGGTTTTTCAAAATGCTGACACACCGAGCTCAAAAGGTTCGCCATCACTGGCCTAGCCCATGGACACAGACAGTAGTGTGATGAAAGCTGGGGAGGGAGGGTGTCAGTGGGGAAAAGAACAAAGGGGAAATCTACAATAAACAAATTTAAAAACAAACAAACACGCAATTGCATCAAAAAATACCTAGAAATAAGTTTAACCAAGGAATTTTGTACTCAAAAAAATTAAGACACAGAGAAATTGAAAATGATAAAAATAAATGTAGCATATACCATGCTTATGGATAGAATGAATAAACATTTTTTAAATGTCCATAATACCAAAAACAATGTGTTGATTCAATGCAATCCATATAAAAATACCAATGGCATTTTTTTTCAGAGACCTAGGAAAAAAAATTTTAAACTTATACGGAATAACAAAAACCCCAAAGAACCAAAGCAATCTTAGGAAGGAGAGCAAAGTTGGAGGTGTCATGTCACCAGATATCAATACACACTGTGAGGCTATGGTAACCAAAATGGCATAAAAACTAAAACATAAATCAATGAACAGAGATTCCAGAAATAAGCCCACAGCATATATATGTAGTCAGTTAACCTATGACAAAGAAGGTAAAAATATACAATGGGGTAAAGTTAGTCGCTTCAATAAATGGTACTGGGAAAACTGGATACATGCAAAAAATGAAATTAGACCACTTTTTACTCCCTATGTAAGAAGAATAAACTCAAAATGGATTAAAGACATTTAAGACTCACAACCACAAAAAATAGAAGGAACCATAGGCAGTAAAATATCAGATATTTCTCTTAGCAAACTTTTTTTTTTTGACATAACTTTTTAGGCAAGGGAAACGAAAAAAATAAACTAAAAAGATTTTGCACAGCAAAGGAAACCAACAAAATGAAAAGACATGCCCACTGAAGGGGAGAACATGTTCACCAGTGAGGACACACAGGTGGCCAATAGATATGAAAAGATGCTCAATGTCATTAATCAAAGAAATTCAAATTAAATCCACAATGTGATAGATGATCAACTCGCACCCGTCAGAATGGCTGTCAATAAAGCAGCGAACAAGTGTTGGCAAGGATGTGGAGAAAGGGAATGCCTGTGCACAGTTAGTTGTATGCAAATTGGTGCCGCCATTTGGAAAACATTAAGGAGTTTCCTCCAAGTTAAAAATGGAACTGCCTTATGACCCAGCAATCTCACTTCTGGGAATATATCCTAAGAATCCAAAAACAATAATCAGAAAGAATATATTCACCCCTATGTTCATAGCAGCATTATTTATAATAGCCAAGATCTGGAAACAGCCCAAATATCCATCAGTGGATGAGTGGATAAAAAGCTGTGATACATTTAAACAATGGAATACTCCTCAGCTGTAAAAATAAAACACAAAAAAAACAACAAAAACAACAACAACATTATGCTAAGTGAAATAAGCCGGTCAGAGAAAAATAAGTACCATATGATTCCAATCATATGTGTAATGAACAAAATAAACTAACAAAAACAGACTGACAGCTGTCTGAGGAGAGTGGGGTTGCAGGACTGGTGAAAAAGGTGAAGGGATTAAAAAAGAAAAAAACCCTTATAGACAGACGAAAGTATGGCAATTACCAGAGGGAAAGGGAGATTTAGGGAAATAGAAGAGGGTATTTGGGCATAAATGGTGATGTATGGAAACTTGACTTGGGGTGGTGATTGTACACCTGACACCTATATAATGTTATTAACCAATGTCATCCCAATACAATAAAAAGGAAAAAGGGTTAGGGACACTATTGGAAGTATTAACCTAATAAAACACACCTTCCTGAATATCAAAAGAAATGTTCAAAAGCAAAGAAAAATAAACAAATTAAGAAATACAGTAAATGTCACCTAATAAACATTGTCACTCGTCTGGTGTTGCTCAGTAGTTGAGCATCAACATATGAACCAGAAAGTCATGGTTCCATTCCTGGTCAGGGCACATGTCTGGCTGTAGGCTCAATTCCTAGTGTGGGGCGTGCAGGAGGCAGGTGATCAATGATTCTCTCTAATTGACCTTTCTATCTCTCTCTCCCTGAATTTGTTTAAAATATAAAAATATATTTTAAAAATAAACACAATTTTGATATGGCAGAGTTGAGACCAAATTTAATAGTCCTCTCAGTAATGTGAAGGAACTTAACTTGTCTGTTTTTTAGAAAAATCATTTAAAATGGCTCATAAAGCAAAACATAAATCCATACTACATATAAGATACTTAAATTGCAGTGATTCAAAAAGCTAAAAGTAAAAAATTGGACAAAGATTTACCAAGCAAATGAAGACAATAAGGAAACAGGAGTTGTAACTCAAATAACAAAGCAAATGACCTCCTGAAATTAAATGTGTCAGAAAAGACCACTTCATAAAAGTACCACACTCCACAATGAAGATATGATAGCTCAGAATATCTATGCAACAAATAAAACCACAAGCCATCTACATAAAACAAAATCTATAGGAGACACAATAAGAAAACAGCCTTAGAGATTTTAAAACACCATTCTTATAAAACAGGTTAAGTGGACAAAAATATAAAAAAGTTAAATGAAAATTAAAAGGTAAATCTTCTACATACATATACACTATACCCTGAGAATAATATATCTTAAGTGCACATGAACTGTTCACAAAAACTGTAAGTATAAAGAATACATCAGTAGTTTCCTAAAAATAGAAATATTATAAACAATATTCTCTATTCACTATGCAATTAACACTAGATATTGAAAATGAAACCAAAACATAAAAAAAAGCCCCTCCCAGTGTAGGAGAGCCTGGCCCATGAGGCTCAGTGATTGAGTGTCAAACCATTTACAATTCCTGGTCAGGGCACATGTCCATGTCGCGGGCTGGATCCCCAGTAGGGGGCAAGAGGCAGCTGATAATTTTCATCATTGATGCCTGTCTCTCTAAAATCAATAAGAACTTTTTTTTTGAAAGTATACAGGGGAGTGACACTGAGTTTTACTTTGCAGAGTTTTGACTTTTGATTAATCTACAAACTTAAAAACTAAATCAAGGAAAAAAATGAAAAACGGAAGCAAATCGAAACAAATCTAATGTAATTTCAAATATATACAAATGATACCCACAGAGAAAAAAAATTAATCCAAGTAATTTATAAACACAATATTTAACTATATGCCCACAAGACCTGGGCACTAAGGCAGTATATGGGTATAGGAAGAAAGTTGAAAACAAATCCTGAATTAAAAAAAAAAAAATACTTGGTCTGCTTATTGTAGTTTCATAGGTGAGAAATTGTGAAACATTTTGGGGACATCCTGGGGTTGAGCAACTATGCCGATGGTTAAATCATCGGGAGTGCCCCTCAGAGGAACGTGGTGCCGGAGTTTCCATGGCCGGCCACTTGGACACATCACTGTGGCAAATGCTGTCTGACCTATTGCTTCAATAAACCAGCAGACAAGGAATTGTATATGGGTTGATAAAAAACATGAACTAGCAACAACAAAAAACATTTTACTAATTAGTTAATAAATTTAATTTATAAATTAAATTTTAAAATTGGTGTAGAAATCAATAGACTATCAGATTTTTAAATTTTTATGTAAATAGATAAAATAGTGATCTTTCACTTTAGAATATTTATGTAAAACTATCAAAATATTTTTATATGAACATAACTAATCGTGTTTAAATAGTACCATTAATGCTAGACTGTTGTTGAGTTGCCTTCACACAGTGAAATATTCACTGTATATACTGCCATATGCTCCCCACAGAACGGATCTTTAAACCACTCACCCTTCTAGTGATCGCTCCAGGCCTCGGTCAGGTCAGTGCTGGTCACGTTCCGGTGAACGACATTTTGTATTTGGCTTTATTGTAGGACTCAAATGATAAGCACTGAGGGAGTAATTCTGGCAGCGAAGTTCTTGCACAGCTCTCTCCCTAACATAAAAAAGTTCAAAATAGAAGTTTTTAAACTTCCTATTCAGAGACATTCCCAATACTGTGGTAAAACCGAAGATCAATTCACCCCTCACGGGATTATCTGTTGTTATCTGAGAAGCAATGCTTCTCAGGTGAAATACTGCAGAGCTTACCATTCAAAGCGCTCGGTCCCTAGCTGTCTTTTGGTGATGTCTAAGTCAGCTTCCAGTTGCGTGACAACATTCCTGAACTGGGCCACATCTCTGCTCTGGATGGCCCTGTGTAAAAGAATATAAGACTGGCTTAAAATATGTCTGGGACTCCTAGGGTACCCTGAACCATAGTGGCAATGTTTTCTCTTCTGGACCCAAGCCAAATTGTAGTGTTTGTGGAGGTATTGCCAATTTTAGATGCACTAACTGCACAAAGGAGCCTACTTGGAAAGCTTAAGCTGAGCCAGTCACATTCAATCAGTTAAAACGCCTCTATATCAGTTTCCCTGTGTTTACATGAAGTAATATTATCTATTATCTATCTAGATTATTTATTTACTGCAAATTATTTTTTATAAAAGTACTTTGACGTATTATATGCAAATTGTACAACCAATCAAAACTGGAATTTGTTAGCACCATGACTATTATGATGTTATATATATTAAATGAACCAAGTGTTTTATATACCTGTACACACTCTCTTCAATGTAACAGGATCTTCTTTAGGACTAAACAATGCCACACACCCCCTGTAACAGGGCACACTATCTTTAGGAAGATAATGATGGAGATTAATGCCGCTTATACAGAACGCTCTATCCTTTCTGCTCACTCCCAGGACTGCATTCTAGACTGCTAATATCTAAACTTAGAGGCTACCAACACAAAAGTTGATCATGTTTACCAGTTCTAAGTGATATGACTTATCAGCCAGTCTAAAATAGAATGTACCCTTTCAGGTGAAGTTTTGGCATGCTTCACTAAGGCAGAGTTCCACCTACCAGCTTGAGAAAGTGGTTTTGCATAACCCATTGAAGATGCAACAACAACCCAGCTGCACTGACTAAAAAGAATGATTCAGTGACAGCTGCTATACCTGAAAACAGTTTCTGAGGAAAACTGGCTTTGGCTTTGCAGATTTTGCTTAGTCAGGGGCTCCTATGAGCCGATTCCTGAGAGCATGATTCCTGTCCTTCCCCAGTCCCAACTCAGACAGAAAGGCAGAGGTGAGTCTGGATGAAAAAGTGTTATAGATGAGATAGATAAGAACAGGGACTAAAAGTCTCCAACTTTTTGTGAGAGGTGAACAATTTTAATAACAGAACATTCACTATCCAGGCAGGCATTTCTACCCAAACTTCCAGCCAGGGTCATGGAGTAAGCGGCTAATGGTGCCAGGGATTCTAAAGCAGCAGCAGCCCAAAGGGCATCCACAAAAGTGTGGTGGTTGCCTGGGAGAGGTGGCTGGGGTGGGGGTAGGTGGGAGAGAGTATGGGGGGGGATAAACAGTGATTGACAGAGACTTGACTTAGGGTGGTGAACACACAATAGAGAGTACAAATAATGTGTGATAGAATTGTGCACCTGGAACCTGTATATTTTTGTTAACCATGTCACCCCAATAAATTCAATAAAAAGGAAAATAACTAAAGCCAAAATCAATGCTCTAAGCCAGCGGTTCTCAACCTGTGGGTCGCGAGCCCTTTGGCAGTCAAACAACCCTTTCACAGGGGTCGCCTAAGACCATCCTGCATATCAGATATTTACATTATAATTCATAACAGCAACATTATAGTTATGAAGTAGCAACGAAAATAATTTTATGGTTGGGTCACAACATGAGGAACTATATTTAAAGGGCCAGAAGGTTGAGAACCACTGCTCTAAGGGAAGTCTTCAATATTTAGTGAATGCAGGAATTCTTCCAGGTACTTAGTATGTACAAGGATAGGTACATAAAGAAAGACTGTGTGACAAGTGGAAAGGTTAGTTAGCAATATCAGGTGGGTCCATAAATAGAAAACAATTTCTAGTTTCAAAAGTGTTTTTGTGTCTAATCTGATTATAATATTTCCTAAAGGCAATATGTTTAGATCAGACATTCTATTATAGCCAAAGCTCTATTGGAAATAATCAACAGAGATGGTCAAACTTAAATTTAAATAAATTTAGCTAAACATATAATGTAAATAAGTACTAAATCTTAGTCAAATCACAGTATTCTGATCTTTAGTTTAATTAATGGCAGATTATGGATGCTTTATTAAACTGTGTAAATTCCAGCTATAAAATTCTACTAATCTGCCAGAACCGGTTTGGCTCAGTGGATAGAGCGTCGGCCTGCGGACTCAAGGGTCCCAGGTTCGATTCCGGTCAACGGCATGTGCCTTGGTTGCGGGCACATCCCCAGTGGGGGACGTGCAAGGCAGCTGATCGATCGATGCTTCTCTCTCATCGATGTTTCTGGCTCTCTGTTCCTCTCACTTCCTCTCTGTAAAAAATCAATAAAATATATTTTTAAAAAAAAATCTACTAATCTATAAAGTACCAAAAATTAAAGATATATAACTTTGTTATTATATCATGAACAAACTCACATTTTATTTTCTGCCAAACAAAGGTGTTCTTTAAGAAGCTGAATTTCAGATTCTTTTTCTTGAAGTGCTATCTGAGACTGATATTCTTTGTCTTGATTGGTCACCAGCAAAGCTTCTAGATTCTGTATGGAGATTCTCTCATTTGTCATCTGACTCCTGAGGAGTTCTAGTTCAGAATGAGCATAATCTAACTCACTCTCCATCTGTACAACAGGAATATATCTATACTTACTCCCATTCATTCACTTAACTGATCGATTATCAGAGACTTACAAAATTTCTGTATTCTGTTATAAACTAACAACCCCTTTTAATTTTTTGATTAGAAATATTGTCCTCCTTACCAGATATACACACACAGTATCACTTTCCCCAACTCTTTTATCAGAAAATTCATTAATAAGTAATGAGTTATGAATCCCAAACTACAAACAATTTCCATTTCCAGCTCTGGTATTTTTTTATATACTAGAGGCCAGATGAACGAAATTCGTGCAAGAGTAGGCCTTCCTTCCCCTGCTGCCATCAGTGGCTTCCCTCTGGCACCCAGGACCTGAGATTCCCTCTGCTCCCCGCCCCCGCCCGTCCCCCCTTCCCTCACAGCCCCGGCTTCATCTGGTCTAATTAGCATATTACGCTTTTATTATTATAGACTTCTGTAAGACTGACATCGTAATACTGTGACTACTACTTTGTACTGAGGCGAGTTACAAACACCTAACACCTTATCAAATGCCATTGCACTCCATTGTTAAGGAAGATGAGAGGTGGTTACACATTCTCTCTCTTGCATAAACCCATGGAAAGCTTCATTTTTCGAAGGTTATCTTGAACCTGGAATACATTCTGTAAGCCAAAGTTTCTTCAAAAGGAAGTAAACCAGAGATTACTGTTTATTTTAAAAACACCCCTACAATTACCTCATAATGCACATTATAATAAATTATATATGCACTTAAAAAGTAAAATGTGAAAAGATAAAACTCTAAGAATAAAGAATTTAATAAAAATTAAATTATTGGGGGAAGGGAAGGTAGATACAAAAAGAAGTTTCAATCTAACAATACAATGGATAAATTTTGCAGATAGAAAATCAACGAGGAAACCAACACCTTAAATGACACACTAGATCACATAGATTTAATTGATATCTTTAGAACATTTTACCACAAAGCAACAGAATATACATTCTTTTCAAGCACATATGGAACACTTTCAAGGGTAGACCACATGTTAGTACAAAAAAACAAAAGACTCAATAGATTTGAGAAGATTAAACTCATAGTAAACATCTACTCTGTCCACAGTGGTGGTATGAAACTAGAAATCGATCACAAGAAAAAAAACTGAAAAACACACAAAGACATGGAGGCTAAATAACATGTTACTAAACAATTGGCTAACAATGATATCAAGGAAGAAATTTTAAAAAATACCTTGAAATAAATGAAAATGAGGACACAACAACCTAAAATCTATGGGACACAGTGAAAGCAGTCCAAAGAGAGAAATTCATAGCATTACAGGCTTGTCTCAAGAAACAAGAAAAAGCTCAAATAAACAATCTAACTTACACTTAAAGGAACTTAAAAAAGAATAATGAACAAAGCGCACAGTGAGTAGAAGGAAAGGAATATAAGGCTCAGAACAGAAAGAAACAAAATAGAGAAAAAAAATACAAGAGATAAATAAAACCAAGAGCTGGTTCTTTGAAAAGATAAATAAGATTGACAAACCAGACTTAACAAGAAGAAAAAAAAAAAGAATCCAAATAAAATTAGAAATGAAAGAAGAGAAAATTAACACCAAAGAAATACAAAGGAATGTTAGAAAATATTATGAGCAACTATATGCAAACAAGTTGGACAAACTGGATGAAATGGATAAAATCCTAAAAACATACAATCTTCCAAAATTATAACTAGCAAAATTGAAGCAATAATCAAAAACTCCCAACAAACAAAAGTCCTGGACTAGATGCCTTCATGGTTGAATTTTACCAAACATTTCATAAAAAATAAAACTATCCTTTTCCAACTATATTCCATAAATTCATGAGAAGGGAAGATTCCCAAGTTCATTTTAGGAGGCCAGAATGATCTTAATTCCAAAAACCATATAAAAGGAAAATTACAGGCCAATATCCCTGATGAACATAGATGCTAAAATCTTCACCAAAATATTAGCAAACTGAGCTCATCAATATACTAAAAAATCATAAAACATTATCAAGTGGGAGTTATACTAGGAATGCAAGGTTGGTACAATATACGCAAAGCAATAAACGTGATATACCACATAAATAAAATGAAGGATTAAAAACAACATGATCTTATCAAGAGATGCATAAAAAGCTTTTTATAAAATCCAGTATGAATTTATGATAAAAAAAACTCTCAAAGTATACAGAAAACCTATAAAATTTTAATAAACAATGTCACCCCAATAAATTTTTGTAAAAAGTATTTGTGCTCCTACATGCATAGTATAGCTAAAGAAATACAAAGATAAGTATGATGGTCTCTGCCCTGAAAATTATAAATTATGGGGATAAACATATATAGATTTTCAAGGCAAAAAATGTATGCCAGAAGCATTTTAAAATACAATGAGAATTAGCCTGACAACTTACCCATTAGGATAGCTATTATTTAAAAAATGAAGGATGAAAACTAAAAAATAATATGTGTTTCAGTTATTATAAAATGCATTACTTTTCCCATTTGAAAATGCCAGGTAAAAAGTGTTTTTAAAGAAAAATTAAGGACATAGCATTTGAATTTTTACAGTGAATATCTATTCATGAGTTATTTTCATCATTAAAATGTTATTGCTAAAAAATGTTCTTGCTGAAATAAAAAATAACTTAAGGTGAGTTTGACAATACTGGCATATGCTTCATTAATAAATATTAACAATGCATTCTGACAGGAACCAGCTACATGATTCTCAAATGCCACATATCCTCCTAACGAACAGTAGACTAACAAAACTAAAATTTCAATAGGATTTGATAATAACAGAAATGTAAATGTGACCAAAATTTGTTGATGCTTCAATTACACTATGCAACTTGTATATATATATTCCTTTAGGATCTGGTCTCCATTTATCTCTTTAGATCAGCGGTTCTCAACCTGTGGGTCGCGACCACTATGGCGGTCGAAGGACCTTTTCACAGGGGTCGCCTAAGACCATACTGCATATCAGATATTTACATTACAATTCATAACAGTAGCAACATTACAGTTATGAAGTAGCAACGAAAATAATTTTATGGTTGGGTCACAACATGAGGAACTGCATTTAAAGAGCCAGAAGGTTGAGAACCACTGGTCTAGATGCATCTCCAGCCATTTCCTCCCAGGCATGCCACACTGGCATGGAAAATTACTTACTATTCACTGAAGAATTCCTTTTTACCTCCATATATTCCCTATGTTGTTGTTCCCTCTGAAGGAAATGCCTCATCTCTTCTACATTCCTTAGCACTTCCTTGTGAACTCCTTCCAACAGCCACAGGCTAAATAGGAACTCCCTGTCTGAAACCTCAAGTATTTATTAGTATAACTTTCATCCCAAATTACTTGCATGTCAATACTGAAAGTTCCTTGAGGGCAGGAGCGTGTATCTTTTGCAGGTTACAGTCACAGCATATTCACAGCAGCAAGCACAATTTCAGGGACATGTAGATATAATCAACTCAATTACAGTTCAAAAGAACCCAATTAGTAAATAAATTTAGCTTAAAAGGATGTCATTAAAGTTATAACTTAGCTGGATAAACCTCAACCTCATGAGTTCTTAGCTGATTGGTATGTAAATGTGTTTTATAATTCTTCTGGCTAAAAGTAAATATAAAATTAAGTATTCAAAGGAGGATTTGTTTTGTACTTGAATTGTTCAAATGCAGCTGTCAAATTAATCCCTTGGACTGAAAAAATAGAATCTAAAGATGAAAGGCATGGCTTGATGTAATATTTTATTTTTAAAAACTTGCTTTCTAAACTTATAGTAATTTTATAGTAACAGAAATATGAAAAACATTTTAATGCATTACATACCATTTCAATTTCTTGATCTTTGGCAACCAGCTGTCGATTAAGAATTTCTTTGCTTGAGTCAAGTTTAATACAAAGTTCCCTTGTGGAAGACAAGTCTGCAAGGGCAGACACCTTTTCTAACTGAACCTTCTGAAGCTCCTCTTCCATCTTCACAAGAGACTTATGTAAGGTACAAATCTGGGACTTGTAAGACCTTTCTGCATTCAAGTGCTACAAAAACCACATTATTTTTTAACTTGGAAAAAGACTACGATATGAAACACAAAATGTGCCAATTTTTAAATGAACCTACACTTATAGTATAAGGAATTTTAGATGATATAGGTAGTAATATATGTCCAAAACACTATGGGAAACATAATTTGAGGTTTCACATTTCTCTATATAAAATCTATGAGTAAAGTGATCAACTGTCATACTTGGAAAATAACTTTTCCCCATTTAAAAGTCTCAGTCCCAAAGTTGGTAGAGATATATACATGTTTGGTCTACAGTCCTGTCTATATTTGCCAGTTTCAATTATTCTGTAATATAAATATTATTGTTGTTTTTAGAAACAAAGTGACAAAACATTTGCCACTATTTCATGCACAATACTCATTTTCTAATTCTTGAAAAACATGTTGATATCAGCTATAATATCATAAAATGAGGACTGATACCACTCTAGTACTTAATAATACCAAGGAAAAGAGACTCTGGGCAAATATAAATTAAAAACATATCCATATTATGAAAAGTAAGAGTATGTTTTTAAAATGGTAATATGAGATTCAAGTTATAGAAACACTTTCAAACATTCAAGATAATTACCTCCTTTTCAGAGGAAAATAAAAAGTCTGTGTAAGGTACACTGTCACCTACGGAGAAGTATTTGCTATTATGTGAAGAACAAAACTGAGAGGCAAATAACAAAACTGAGAAGCAAATAAAGACATTTTCCTGCTTTTACAACTCCTTTTATGCTCAAAAAAATTTCTCCTGGAATAAATTATTTGGTCACAATTCACTCCTACCTTTCCCTTCCCTTCCTGCCTCACTCACTCTATTTCTCACTCATTCTTAAAATAATTTTCTATTCATCCATTTACCCACCCACCCATTTATCCATCCATTCTTTATTTATTGAATATATTCTGTGTTCCAGTAAATGTGCCTAAATGCATATCCAATGGGTAAGCAAAATGATCTCTGCTCTCATAAAACTTTCAGACAATGAAGGAGTCATGCATCAATCAAATAATCACACAGGTGAATATATTAATCCATATTAAGCAACTACTTCTAGAGCAAAACGTGTATAAAGAAAGGAAAGTGACCTAAACTGAGAGAGGCAGGGAAGTCAGAAAAGGTTTTCCTGAGTAAATGGCAGTTGAGCTGGATGAGATCTGAAAGGTGAGTAGATATACCGTATACCGTGTGCACTGGTGGGAGAGTCACTTTTCAAGTCAGGAATGCTAAGTGCAAAGCTTTGGAGGGAGTGTGTAGAGAGAGGGGAAATGACATACTCCAAGAACAGAGACAAGGTTAGTATGGCTGGAGCTTAGAGACCACTGGGAAGAGTGATAGGGGATACAACTGAAAAGGTATACAAAACTTACAAGACAGAAAGCTACTGTAAAAATGAGGTGTTTATCCACTGAAAGGTCTTAAAAGAAGGAGGTGATGCAATCAGTTTTGTGTTTTGAAAAGATTACTCTGTATGTTTCCAGTTCTAAGTAAGTTAGTTGATTAAGAGGAAAACCTTCTCTTAAAGGCTAAGATAAAAATAAAACAAAATATTATTTTTGTAATTCATAAATGTGCTTGCAAGGAAGAAAAATTCTCACATGCCCAAAATGAGAAAACTAACCCAGAGCAGGAAGCAAATGGACATGCTTAAACGTTGAAAAGCCCTAGCTCAGTGGATAGAGCGTTGGTCTGAGAACTGAAGGTTCCTGGGTTGGATTCCAGTCCAGGGCACATAACTCGGTTGCAGGCTCCTCCCCGGCCCAGGCCCTGATCAAGGCTCGGCAGGAGGCAACCAATCGATGTATTTCTCTCAGATCGATATTTCTCTCTGTCTTTCTCTCTCTCTTCCACTCTCTCTAAAAATCAATGGAAAAATATCCTCAGTGAAGACTTTAAAAAAAAAACAGTTTAAAAGACATTAAAGAAAAATTGGAAAGTAGATATGAAGAACTCAAATAGTACTTCTAGAAAGAAAGAAAAAGTAGTCATAAAGGTGAAAAATTAATGAATATATCTAAGAAAAGACTAATAGAGCTTAAGAGGGAAGAATAAACTAAAAGATCAAAACACAGAGAATAAATATATGGAAACTATGATTAAAATGTTAATAAATATTTGGGCTAGAATTCAAAAAAGCAGCCTAGGACAGGCATCAGAACAGGCATATAGATAAATGGAACAGAACAGAGAGCCCAGAAATCAACCCATGCCTTTATGGTCAACTAATATTTGAAAAAGGAGGCAAGAGCATACAATGGGGTAAAGACAATTTCATCAATAATTGTTGGGAAAATTAGGCACATGCATAAAAATGAAACTAGACTACCAACTTACACCGTACACAAAGAATAAGCTCAGGATGGATAAGACTTAAATGTTAGTTATGAAACCATATAAATTCTAGAAGAAAACATTGGCAGTAAAATATCAGACATCTTTCATAGCAATATTTTTGCTGATATGTCTCACTGAGCAAGGGAAATAATAAACAAGTGGGACTATATTGAACTAAAAAGCTTCTGCACAGCAAAAGCAACCCTCAACAAATTGAAAGGGGAACCCACTATATGGGAAAACATTTTGCCAATGGGACATGTGATAAAGGACTTCCTAGTGTTGAGCTGTTGAAGTCCAAATACATAAAGAACTTCTACAACTCAACACCAGGAAGGCAATCAATTTAAAAAATGGGTAAAGGACCTAAGTGGACACTTCTCCAAAGAGGAAATACAGATGGCCAAGAGACATGAAAAAATGCTCAACATCACTAATCACTAGAGAAATGCAAATTAAAACCACAATGAGATGTCACCTCACGTCTGCCAGAATCAACAAATCAACAAATGACAAGTGCTGGCGAGGATGTGGAGAAAAAAGAACCGTAGTGCACTGTTGGTGGGAATGCAGACTGGTCCAGCCACTGCGGAAAACAATATGGAGTTTCCTCAAACTTTAAAAATGGTACTGCCTTTTGACACAGTGATCCCACTTCTGGGAATATAATCTACTGAAACACCAATATGAAAGAGTATATGTACCCCAATGTTCATAGCAGCATTATCTACAATAGCCAAGATCTGGAAACAGCCCACATGCCCATCAGTAAATCAGTGGATAAAAAAAGCTCTGGTACATTTACACCAGGGAAAACTACGCAGCCATAAAAGAGGAAGTCTTACCTTTTGTGACAGCATGGATGGACCTGGAGATCGTTATGCTAAGTGAAATATTAGTCAGAGAAAGATAAATGTATGGTCTCAGAACTTACGAACAAAATAGAAACAGAGGCATGGGTACATGGAACAGTCTTAAAGCTGTCAGAAGGATGGGGCTGGGAGGATTAGATGAAAGAAGGTAAAGGGATTTGTCAAAAAAACATGCATAACCCATAGACAAACAACAGTGTGGTGATGGCCAGAGGAGATGGAGGTGGGCAACGGGGGCAGGGGCAGAGATAGGGACATCTGGAATAGTGTCAACAATAAAAATAAATTTAAAAAAAGAAGCATGCGCGTGCAAACACACACACACACACAGATGCATGGTTTATACTCAGCAATCAGGAAAAGACTACAGCCATAATAGAGATAAACTATATACAAAATCAATCTCAAGTAAATTAAAGATTTAAATGTGACGGGCAAAATTTCACATACTTTCAGAACTTTTATATGATAATGTAATAAAATATCCTTCTGGTCTTGGGATAGTAAGAATTTCTTAACGAAGACATAGGGTAAAACGTTGACTAATTCCAGCAGCACAAGAACTTAAAGCTTCTATTTATATTGCAAGCACAGTGAAAAGGAGAAGATAACTGTTAACGTCTTTAAAAGGATTATTATAAAGAATATGTATAGTTCTTTTAAATCAGTATGAAAAGATAACTCAATAGAAAAATAGGAGAGTTTAAGAAAATGTGTTCCAGAAAATTGAGAGAAAATTCATAAAAGAGGAATCTGGCATTTCCTTCAATATAATACATTTTAAAAAGAAATATTTATACAGTGAATATAGATGCAATTGTTTAGATGTATACTGTATCAAAATAAACTTCAAAATTATAATATTGAGCAAAAAAATGCAAGTTGCAAATGGATTGCTATAGTATTTTATCACTTTTTAAAAACTTAAAGCATACATTATTCATTATCTGTGGGTGATAGATATGTAGAAAAGTATAAACATATGCCAAGGAGTTCTACAACTGACAGGAACCTTATACACACTAACTGTGAGGGAAGGAGAAGGGGAAAGGATGAGGAGTTGGATCTTGTAATGTTTTGTTTCTTTAAATAAAGAGAGACTTAAAGCAAATAAGGAAAAATGTAGCATCCTTAAGCTTGAGAGGAGGGCAGAAGCGTGTGTTTTATATTACCTGTTTTTGCACTTTTTTTGGAAGGTTTGAAATAGTTACTAATTTTAATACGTACTACAGATTGTTCTCGTTGTAGGGCAGGTGGTAGATTACAGGAGAACCAGAGTGGGTATAAGAACAGTTACCAGGCTACATTCACAGTATACTTAAGGCATATTAAGTGTTTGCTTATATATTTAATTTATGGAAAGCCAAACAAAACTCTTAAATGTGATGCAAGATGTACTACAAGCACATTTTCCCAAACTCACCTGCTCGACCTCTCTATGGAGGGTATCTACCTTTTTAGAGATAAGTTCTAAGCTGAAGGTATTGTTATCTGCCTCTGCTTGCTCAGCCTTATTTTCCAAGTTTTCAGCATCTTTGTTGGCTTTTTGGACTTGGCCCATCTTTTGCCAGTTCTCACATTCCTGAAAAGCAAATCTTAGGTATTACTTTAAAAGATATAAAACGGCCCGGCCGGGTTGTTCAGTGATTGAGCATCAACCTATGAACCAGGAGGTCAACGGTTCGATTCCCAGCCAGGGCACATGCCTGGGTTGCAGGCTCGGTCCCCAGTCGGGGGAGTGCAGAAGGTAGCCAATCAACGATTCTCTCTCATCATTGATGTTTCTGTCTCTCTTTCCCTTCCTCTCTGAAATCAATAAAAAAATATTTTAAAAAGATGTAAAATGTTCAATATATAATTAAACATTATTTGCCAGGTTATTGGGAATTTACTTGCCATGAGAATCATGACCTTGAGCAATCCCACCTACCTACCCTCTCAATTTAGAAAACTGGTCCTCCTGTAATTAACAAAAGGGAGTGGGATCAGGATCTGCCCAGGACCTCGATGAACATCTCTATATATAAAAGCCAAGCAACCAGAATGACGGAATGACCAGAACGACCAATGGGCCTGATCAGGGGCTCCCATTGGCTCCCCCAACCCTGATCGGGGGTGGGGCTGGCTGACCTCCTGCAGCTCCACCCCTGGCTGGCCCAGTGGGCCAACCTCCCATGTCCCCACCCCCCTGCCGGCCCAGCCTGGGGCAGGCCGGCTAGACTCCACCTGTGCACAAATTTGTTAATCAGGCCTCTAGTGTTCTTATATTTGCTTCTGCCTTGGCCTGACCATTTGTATCTATCTGTTCCCTTGTTCCTGACAACTTTGAGTGGTACTGGCTACAGAGCTTCTGACTGCTTGCATATCTTAAGCATCAACTTCTTTTTTTTTTCTTTTTTTTTTATTGCTTAAAGTATTACAAAGATTATTACATATGTCTCCTTTTTTTTCCCCCGCCCTTGACAATCCCCTGGCCTCCCCTACCCCCCAGTGTCTTATGTCCATTGGTTATGTTAAGCATCAACTTCTGATAATTCTCTTGACTTAGTGCGTTTCCTGTCTGAATCCTACTTTTAATTCAGTACCCCAGCCTTAATTTTCTTCATCATGGACTGTTCTATGATCCATTTTTACTCACTGTTCTAATAACTTGCCTTAAATAGCTCAGAAGTACAATATCAAACCTATGTCAATAAACACAATTTATAAAAATATACATCCTGGTATATATTGGGTATAGAATCACATTTTTAAAACCTTAAAAGTTCTAACATGTCATCTTGACTAAAGTAGGATTTTATTTCTAGAAGAAAACAACTCCACAAATAATATACTATGTTGAGTAATCATTTTGAAGCTATATTTAAAAACATATTTTAGTAGTATGGTTTGGCCAATTCTAAAAAGTATTTCATAACTTTGGTAATTAATTTAAAAGGCACTGGATCTCCTTTCCTACCGGTTAATAAACAGTGCATTCCCCGATCAAAAACAGTGGTCTAAATAAAATAACCAAACAACATCCCACTCTGTAAGGCTTTCAAAACAGATTTAAATTCTCACAAATATAATAAATCATGAGTCTGGCTGAAAGTCAGTTAATATCGCCACCTTGTGACCTGATGTACCTTGACTACTGTAAAGACAGTTAATATGTTAACAAGCCAAACTACTGTTTGGCTTTCAAGATTCAGATACTCCAAATGTGCCAGGGACCTGTATTTTCCATTTTACTTAAAATTGCAGTTGTATACAGAGTAGGTACTTGGGAGGTACATGGTACAATATACATAAACTAAATTTAACCCATGTCTATCTTTACTCTCTTTAAGTTTCTGTAGCACTTATTATTTAGGTCATTTTCTTAAAATGGCCTTATAACTTTATGTAATTAGGTATGGATGTACAGTCTCCCCAATAACAACTAGGATTCCTCAAAGATAGGAACTCATTTTTATATTAAATTTAGTTTTGTGACTAGGTGATATAGGTTCAAAGTTCAAGTGATGAAAAATAATTGCCATAAAACGTCTCTCCTGCCCTTTAACCATTTAGTGCCCCTTCCTTGTGGCAACTAAGAAGCCATATTTTACCCTTTCTTTGTATCTGTTCAAAGCAGCCAGAGTAGTCTGGGGTCCAAGATAGGCAACAACATAGAAAAAGTGAAACTGCTTTTTGGTCTTCTCCACCTCTCTCCTCTTTCAAGATGTCTTTGCTTCTTTCTGGACATATACAGTTAACCCGTAATTGTCAACCCATCATTGTCAACACTAAAATATGGTATGCATTAAAGGAAGGCTCGATTCAGCTCTCTCCATGAGTAGAACTGATCAATAAGTTTAGTGAACACTCTTAGGGTATCATTAGCAAAGAGGGAAAAAATATATACGTACTTCAGACTTTAATGTATTTTTTAGCTTGTTAACCTCCAAATTAGTATCTTGGACCTTCTGTTTTATATCATTAAGTTCATTATGTGTATCATTCAATTGTTTAGACAGTGCCTATGAAAAAAAGATAGCTGGATTTTACAAAAAAACTTTTTAAAAATAGCTCTATATCAAATACATCATAAATAAATTTTAAAATAATCATAATATGAAAAGTTAGTGTTAATATACCTACTATATAAAGCTTACATAAAAAGTGAGAAAATATGAGTCCAAACAGTAAATGGGCAAAGAACCCAAACAGATAATTCACAAAAAGGGAGCTCAAGAGGATAATACTTTAAAAAGCTTAAAAATGTACTAGTAATCTAATTGAGACAATGAAATAGTATTTTATCTATCAAATTAGCAAGGATTTAAAGCTATTCTGTTATACAAGGAATGGACATTTCCATGTATCATTGGAGTAAACACAAATTTATAAAAAGCAAATCTGTGATCTGCTATCTGGTGATATCTCGAGAGACATTTTGAAATACTAATAAAAACAAGAAAGTCAAATATATTGCTTTTTGTTGAAGATGGGAGATGGATAATTGCATATTCATTACATTTGAAAATGTCCAATTAAAAAAAACTTCATAAGTTTTGATTCAGCTTGAAATTAAATCTAATACAATTTAATGGAAAGGAATGTTCATTAGGCATTGTTTGTTATATTAACAATATTTTTTCACATTAAGTTAATGATGCAGTAAATAATAGTATCTACCTAATGGCATAGCTACAAAGAACATTACATCTCTATGAAAAATGTTGTGAATAATTTTTAATACAAAGAAAAATATCCATCTATAATTAGTGAACAAAAATCAGGATAAAATACTAAAAATACATCATCCCAATTTGTTAAAAATCGTGGTATTGAGGGTGACATTTTTTAAGGTTTCTGTTTTCCAAATCTGTGATATAGGTTCTCAATCTGTGGTCTACAGAGGGATCCATCTTCTACCCTGGGCCTATGACCCAAACAAAAGAAAAAAGTACTCTTGAACATATGAAACTTGTTATGATACTAATTTTGTTCTGATTACAAAAAATGTTTATAAAATGTTAACAAAGCAAGAAAGTGATTATAATACTATAGTAAGCCAACAAGAGCCTACAAAATATTTATCAACTGGTTATGCTGGACTCTCTAATAAGTGCTTTCTATACATATTCTTATTTACTCTCCATTTTTACATATGATATACTGAGATTCAGAGAAGTTAAATGAGGCAAGGGGATTGAAACTCATGTGAGTCTTAAACTTCCCACTCTTCTGCCTCCCTATGAACCAGGAGGTCATGGTTCGATTCCTGGTCAGGGCACATGCCCCAGTTGTGGACTCAATCCCCAGTGTGGGGCATGTGGGTGGCAGCCGATCAATGATTCTCTCTCATCATTGATGTTTCCATCTCTCTCTCTCCCTCTCCCTTCCTCTCTGAAATCCATAAAAATATAGTTAAAAAATAAAAAACACAGACTTTTATGATGCAAACTAAACATACTAAGAGTGATAGCAAACGGCGGAAATAATTGGGACTGAAGAATTTTCAGAAGGGAAGAAAGATTTCAAATAAAATTTGACCACTTTTAGTGGTCAATTAAAATAATGATATTGGAAATGAGAAATGTGGATAAAGTGCATTGGCTTAGAGAGGAAGTAATTAATTATAAAAGAAATTTTCCTGAAAAGAATTAGTGCTAAAGAGAACCAAAAAATGTGGCATAGTTCATGCACTCAGACAGAATAATAGTCTATCAAATAAGTCTATGATTTTCTCAAAAGTTTCTTAAGATTTTTACCTTCATTTGTTGAGTACTTCTAAGGTTTAATACAAATCTATTATATCTCCTGTTCCCTCTTTTCCTTAATATTTAACACTTTGTGTCTGAGAATCTCATTTAGAAATTATGTGTCATATTGTGTAATAAAGGTCAAAAATGGCTGGTTTCAAAGCCTGAGCTTTTCTGCAGAATGAAAGGAGAACCGAGCCTCAGAAGAAATATATATTTTCTTGGAGAAAAAGATACTAGGAACAAATATACCTTGTTTTCTTTTTTAGCTTTAGAAAACTGTTCTTGGAGATTGTCATTCTTACGAGCCAAGATCTCTCTTTTCCTGGCAATCTGAGCCAGTTCATCTTTTGTTTCATCCAACTGGCGGCGCATCCTGGAAATGTCTTGTTTACGCTTAATCAGCACTTCAGTAGACTGCCTATTGCACGAATCAGACAGTACATAAGAGGAGACATTTTACCAAAACAGAACAACAAATTCTCACATGACAGAAGAGGGACAATTAGCAAGAAAACATTTGAAAAAGTTTTAAACATTTAAATTTATAGGAATAAATACGGCAAAGATAGTGCATTGGAGTTTCTCTATGTTTGCCAACATTTCACAATGAAAAAGAGGATGCTAAATATACATAATAGTCAATGATTAGCTAAGTATTTAAAAACTTATGACATTCAAATATAAGAAAGCTTACATCCTACTTCTAGATGCCATAGCTTAGTCTCCTTTGCAGGTTCCTCTTCCACTGCCCTCTTAAAACTTAATAGTTCTGAGTCAGGGGTGGGCAAACTTTTTGACTCAAGGGCCACAATGGGTTCTTAAACTGGACCGGAGGGCCGGAACAAAAGCATGGATGGAGTGTTTGTGTGAACTAATATAAATTCAAAGTAAACATCATGACATAAAACGGTACGGTCTTTTTTTTTTTTTTTTTAGTTTTATTCATTTCAAACGGGCGAATCCGGCCCACGGGCCGTAGTTTGCCCACGGCTGGCTTAACTCTTAGCCTTCTGATTCTTCTTACTCTAACCTTCATTCAGACAAATACTATTCATATCCATGGCTCCAAAACCCATCTATACCCAGATGACTCTGAAATCATTATCTCCAGCCTCAGCCTCTTCCTTAGACTCCAGACTCATATTTAATTGCTTCTAAGACATATCTACAGGTGTCTTGTAATTCAGAGGAAAATCATCTTTTCCCATACTTTCTACATGCCCAGTATTCATTCCCAGCCCAAAACCTGGCACTTTCCTAGATTTTCTTCCTTGCAAGCACCTTAGCCATCTCCCCACTTCCCAACCCCAATCTATCATCATTCTTCAGCCTGGGTAATCTTTCTAATGCAAAAATCTCCTCTAAATTCTTTCATGAATTCTTATTTCCCAAAGGATAAAGTCAAGACTCCTTTGTCTGTAACACAGGCCTCTGTGTTTAGCCTTTCCTCCCTCACATCTCCTCACACTTTGGGTTCCAACACTCACCTATTTGTCATTCAAGAGGCTCCTGAACATTATCTGAGGTTCTTTATGGTTCTTTGCTATCCTTTCTACCTCGAATGTGCTTTCCTTCCCGTTCCTTGGCAAACACCAGATCCTTTACTTCCCTACACATACTTAGGCCTCCTTCCAATATTAGAAACTTACAAACTCTATACATAACACTAAACCCCTTGTTTTTTTACTACCTTTTGCCTAGAGCAAAATAAGTATCCAAATTCTTATTGAATAAGCGGTTTACCTTGATGCCTGTTTTGTCTCAGGGATAATATTCTTCATGCCTGAAATGGCCTTTTCCTTGAAAAGTAATATAAAATGAAATAAAAAAAATTATCTATCTTAAACTGTTATTTCAGTTTAAAACATTTATAGAAGACAGTGCTGGAATTGCCTTCAGAATCAGTTTATGAGCTAGAAAGGGGTATCAACATTTCTCTGCCTTTTGGGCACACCTTTTATGTTGTTTGAACAACGAAAACCGAGGGATGGAGATGATCATCCAGCTTTTTTACCAACTCTATATGGTCTGTATGGTCAATGGCTAAGGACGTTGTGAAATGTGCATCTAGTTCTGAACACAACCACAAAGGCAGTTTGAATAAACATATTGACTCCCATGGTGGCTACCTGGAGGTATAAGTTCTGGTGTGCTTTAAAAAGAAATCAGTCTCGCTGCTTTATTATCATGTTTCACATTTTGATATTTGAATTAGTTATTGTCAGTGACTGTTAATCACAAACTGATGGGAGAAATAACACATATTTCTTAAGACTACCCTGAAATATTTCAAAATCAGATTTTGTTTCAGCTCTCTAGAAAAAAAAAACATTTGAGAGAACCCCATTATTTGATTAAGATTCAAGTGCAAACATTTCTTTTAAACCACAGCTCTCAGGACATACTTTCAGTGTCAAATTCTCTCCACGGGATGCAATATTCTCGGATTTTTTATCCGACCGTGCACGTGGGCATTCCTTTTCTTTAGCCAGATCATTGAAGGTTGCACCAAGAGTGCTAATTTCTTCTTGCCGGGCAATACTTCGCCTTGTAAAATTATCTAAATATGTAATCATAAAGGCATATTTTAAATCAAGATCATTCTTTCCTGTTCAAGCAGATTGAAATATTTTTCAAAGTAAGTTCTGCTATATTATATTCAATGACTAAAAATAAGTACTGTATTCCAAATAAAAACATGGCTTTTATTGTTAGTGATTAAAAACTAAGATGAATCAGGAAATTCTAAATGACTCATAAATGTAAAAGCACAATTAACACATCTGAATAAGAATAGCAAAGGAAAGCTCTATATTTCAAATTCTTAAAGTAGATTTACATGTGTGGCAGGAGAGGAGAGCATAGGATGAAGTTGGGTGGAATACTAAAACACCACTCCCCCCCTAACTTCCCCTCCCCTCTACACTAGAATCACTGCTGCATATAAGGTGGTAACTAATAGAGCTTAATAAAATATTCAATTAGGTTATCTTCAGAATCAAATCTCGTCTAATATTCTGATTTTCTAAATTTTTCTGATTTTTTTCTAAAAAGTCCTAGAAAAAAAATCACCCAGGATGTCTAATTCGATTTGTGAAAACACTGGCAAGCCAATGTCCATGCCGAAGGCTTACATTATAGGTACATCATTTAGTGGTTTTCAAGCTGTGTTTTCTCAACCAGCAGCATCAGCATCATCTGGGAACCCAGACCCACTGAATGACAAATTCTGAGTGGGCAGAGCAATTATGTTTTTTTTAATTTTGTTTTATTGCTTAAAGTATTACAAAGAGTATTACATATGTCTCCTCCCCCCCCCCCTTGACATTCCCCCAGCCTCCCCTACCCCCCAATGTCTTATGTCCATTGGTTATGCTTATATGCATGCATACAAGTCCTTTGGTTGATCTCTTACCCCCCCCCTCCCGCCCCCCCTAACCCTCCCCAGCCTTCCCACTGTAGTTTGACAGTCTGTTCGATGCTGCTCTGCCTCTGTATCTATTTTTGTTCATCAGTTTATAATGGTCTTTATTATCCATAAATGAGTGAAATCATGTGGTATTTTTCTTTCATTGACTGGCTTATTTCACTTAGCATAATGCTCTCCAGTTCCATCCATTCTGTTGCAAATGGTAAGAATTTTTTTTGCAGCAGCAGCAGCATAGTATTCTATTGTGTAGATGTACCACAGTTTTCTAATCAATTCATCTGCTGATGGGCACTTAGGCTGTTTCCAGATCTTAGCTATGGTGAATTGTGCTGCTATGAACATAGGGGTGCATATATCCTTTCTGATTGGTGTTTCTGGTTTCTTGGGATATATTCCTAGAAGTGGGATCACTGGGTCAAATGGGCGTTCCATTTTTAACTTTTTGAAAAAACTCCATACTGTCTTCCATAGTGGGTGCACCAGTCTGCATTCCCACCAGCAGTGCACGAGTGTTCCCTTTTCTCCGCATCCTCTCCAGCACTTGTCGTTTGTTGATTTGCTGATGATAGCCATTCTGACAGGTGTGAGATACCGCATTGTTGTTTTGATAGAGCAACTATGTTTTAACAAGCACCCCTCCCACATGATTCTAATGCACAACACAGCTTGAGAACCACTTGAGCAAAACGGTAAAGATACAAAAGCCTTGTCCATGTCCTCCTCTAGGAGCCGGGCTCAGTGGTCTGTACTAGCTCTCCAGGAATTCTGACACACACCGAAGCTTAGAACCACTGGTCTAGAGCTCTACCAGGGAAGCTCTGCTAGATTGGACCTCTAAGCTAATCCCTGTCCACGGCCATCTAGTGCAGCACTAAGAGAGGCAGTATCATATGCCAAGAGGATGATCTATATAGTACCCGAGACTATATCAATTCCCTTTTCCGGGCAATACTATCTTTCAGGCAAACCACATGTTTTGAGTGTTCAGATATCTGAGTTCATTCCCACTGGCATAAGATAAATACATAAATGAAAGCTCTGAAACAGCTCTAGTACTTCCTAGCTTTTAAAAAACAAAATCCTCAATCTTACATACCACTCTTACATACGCCCCATTTTTCTGCCGCTCTTAGTAGCCAAACTTTTTAAGAGACTCTACTCTCTCCTTTCTCTACTTCCTCACTTCCCAGTCATTCCTCAACCTATTCCACCTTCCACATCCAACACTCTATCTAAACTTTGTGGGTGTTACCAAAACCTCCAACGTGCCAAATCCAATCAACATCTTTTCAGCCTTGTCTTACTTTGCTTCTCGAAAGCATCTGATAATTGACACTACCCTCCTTTTTAAAACACTTTGCTCTCTTGTTCCCAAAATAACACCCACTCATGGGTCTATTCTTTGGCTTCTTCTTACTCAATCCTGGATCCTCTTAAATGTTCCCTCTGCTTTAAAATGGGCTCTTTTATAGTCCTAATCAAAATTTTACTTTACAGTTATAAAAATATTAAATTATAACCATATTTTCTGAGATCATTGTAAGAAACATAAATATGACTCTATAAAAATGTTTCCCTCTATAAATCCAAGTAATATCATAGATATAGCCAAATATATGTACACTTTGCACCAAAAGTAATATATATGTGTGCTATGTTTCATTACAACTATGAACAAGCCACAGTATCATACAAAAACTTGTAAATTTACAAGTGTTATGCATATTTTAAAGTAACCATACTATAAATTCAATATTGAATCCTGATTTCTTTTTACCTACACTTAATATTTAAGAATTTTAAGTCAGAAATTATAAACTGTTGCTGCTTCATTTAGTTATCTCCTCATTGAAAAATGTGAAGCCATGTCTAAGTATTTAAGGTCCTAAATCTAAGTAAAAAGTTTACTATCAATGAAAAACATATTTCCATGATTGACTCATAAACTTTTAATTTAAGGGCCTACTTCCAAGTTTATCTATGTTATAACTGAAGAAAATAAAACATTTTTCTACGAGACTTAGAGAAAAAGTAATATCAGGAAAAAAATAACTCACCAATTTTTTCATTCAAGCGCATAATTTTCCCCTGAGTAGGCTGTAGCTCATATTTTTTCTTTGCAAGGTATCGCTGAGTATTAGAAAGATCTTTTTCTGTATTTTCATATAAAAGTCTGTAAATATTTTAATAATAAAACTAATTCTGAAATTTTCATGTTTCATCAATCTCTTAGTTATTTAAATCTAAAAAATTTTTTAAGAACAACAGTAAACATTTTCCTTTTAGCATTTTCATAAAACCACATGTGCTCTTACCTGGAATCAAACCAGTGACCTCTTGGTGCATGGTACAGTGCTTACCAACTGAGCCACACTGGCCAGGTGAATCCCTATTTCTTTAAAGCTCCTCATTTGATTTGAATGTGCAGCCAAGGTTGTTAAGAAGTGCCTCCTAATGCTGCTTAACTCAGTGGGGCAACAAGCAGAAAGTGACAGTGACTTCAGTCCCCCATACTGTGAAGTTAATGTGGCTGACACGATGATTATCCCAAAGCACCGCTTGACATATCTTATCTCCATGGAAAAAATATGTTCATAGGCCAAAATCATAAGACATTTGAAAGACCAGCTATTTAAACACACACACAGATTACAGAATGCAACAGGAGCAGATATATTAGGATAAATACATTAAAAATTAAATTAGACTAGTAAACATATTAAAAAAGAAAGATATTAACAATGTGAAAAAAGAACCAAGGAAAAAATATATAATAAGTGTGAAATAAGTGTGAGAAATGTAGTAGATGAAATAAAAAAAATATACATGATGCAAATAGCAGAATATATATATGTGTGTGTATATATGGTCAATTAATGTTCAACAAATATGTCAAAGAATCCAATGAGAAAGGAAACAACTGGTACTGAAACAACTAGATTGCCATGTGAGAAAAAAATGAATCTTGACCCCAAGATCACACTATATATAAAAAGCCTAACACAAAAGCTAAAACAATAATGCTTTGGTGAGAAATAATAAACATACATGTAAAAAGTTTTAACCAATTTTAGCAAATATAATTCAAGAATATATAAAAATTATAATGCATAATGACCAAGGGGAGTTAATTTAAATATACAAAGTTGGTTTACAATCGAAAATTAATGTAATTCACATTAACTAACTAAAAATATAAAAATATATTTTAAAAAATATGTTTATACTTAAAATTAATTTAAAAAACAAACAAAAAAACAAATGTACACCAAAAAATCTCCAATTATATATCTATCTGCTAAAATATTTTAATAAACTACTAAAAGGCTTTTGAAAAACCTCCAATGACATGGGAAAATGCTTATTGTATACAATTAAGTGAAATCACTTAACGATATCACTCAATATGATGTCAATTACACAGAAAGCTTATATACATAGAGATAAAAATATCTCTGGTTAGAAACAGACCTACATTAATAAAAGTCTTCCCTGGGTTATGGAATCGTGGGTGATTTAAATTTTCTTTACACTTTTCTCTATTTTCCAAGGTTTTTTTGTTGAGATTGTTTTATTACTTTTTAAATTTTACCTAAGATTGCAATATCCTTTTAAGCAGCAATTTAAAAAAAATGAAGGAAAGAAGACGAGTAAATGTCTATCCTGATAGTGACTCCAATGTATGCACCATAGACCCTTGAAAGATCAAAGAGAAGACTCCAGGAACTCATGTAAACCAAGTATTCTCTGTAACTTAGTAATTTGTTTCACACTCACATGAATTACTATTTTTCAAATGTTCATAGATGCACTGAAATTCAACCTTACTGAATCTATAGAAATTCCATTTTTCACATCTTCAGATACTAAAAGTAAAACAAAACCACTAGCATGGAGGTCTTCAAAAACTTATTCACTTGCACTTATTGCCTGGAAATTCTCCTGCTACCATATCAGTATGTAGGAAGCGCTAAGCACAGTACTTGACATTCAGTTAATAAGTTCCATTACATGTTCCTATTTCTCTATGCTACTGTAAAACCTGTGCTTTATGTCTTCTTACACTGCTCAGACCACAGAACATAGTTTAAGCTATAAAGGTAAATTAACAATCAAATACCAAAGTCAATCATGCTTGTACCCAGGATGGCTTTGTAGAAGCTATTTTTTGTTAAACATTGAGGTTTTCTCCAAATGGAAGATTGAGACTACTAAAAGTTTGAGTCCTTGGTAAGTGTGGCATTATCAATCTGTGATTGATCTTGGGGAAATCATTTAATGTATGCTGAGTTTTCTACCACTGTTTCATAATAATCCTCCCCAAAATTCAAGTCAACAAATAATTACCATTTTAAAATACACTACAAAAAGCAGAGTTATTTATAATAAACTATTAGTTGTTCAAAGGCAATTTAGTTTACCTCAAAGAATTATTCTCTGCTTTTTGTCTGCCAAGTTCACTTTTTGTATCTATTGCCTTTCTTGCTAGTGATTTCATTTCTTTTCCCACAGTGGTTATTGCTTTCTTCGTCAAAGTCATATTTGACATTTGTTCCATAAGTTCATCATCAAGCTATACAAGGAGAATGACAAGGTTACTGCCATCACTAAAAGTGTCTTAATCTTCCTAAAGAGACATCCTCTCTTTGTGAAAACTGGTATATGACAAGATTCATACAATGATTAGACTTGAATACTGTGAAGGCTATATGGACAAAGTATTGTGGAGTAGGACCAAGAATAGTATATCCATCTACATTTCAATCTGGTTCAATTTGACTTTAGCATACATATCTATTTGCAGATATGACTTATTTGCTGCTTAACATTAATTATAGATATAAAATGGAATTATGAAAAAAATTTTCCCCATCTGTTATTATCATTATTATTATTATTAATCATTATGTTACATAGATTCTCCCCCATTGGCCAAGATGGCAGCAGGGAGAGGTTCTTACACTGAACCACCAAAAGCTAGAAATAATAATGGAGAGGATCCCAGGCACCAAAAGCTAGAAATATGAATGGATAGAACCCAAGTACAACACAAGCTAGAAAATGAATGCACGGGCCCCAAACACACCAAAAGTTACCAAGATAATTAGATAGGAAAATAAAAAAAGCCATCCCCTTCCTATCCCTACCAGAACCCCGGGCTTGAACAGGAAGAGAGCTTAGTCTTTCGGATGGGAGTCTGCCATTCTCCCAGGTCGTGTGGCTCCTGAATAAAAGCCCTTTCCTTTTGCATGAGCACCTGTCTCACAAATTTGGCTTTTATTGAGCCAGGCAGCCAAACCTCCATTTAGTTGTTCAGTTACAATTATAACAACATAATACAGATACATTTATAAACATATTCAATTAAATTTGGTAACAGAAAATCAAATTCCCTTGTTTATATAGTCATACCATCTCAAATATATATCCATAGTATCTCAAATTGTTGATTACTAAAACAAGGTGATGCTTCACATTTAAATTCATTACATATATTGTTCTCTTTAATTTTTATTTCATCATAATTTTTTCTATCCTAGTTACTCTTTAGGCAGAATAATCTAGATTCCCTGGATCTGGCATTGTTATCTTTAATGAAAAAGGGAGATGAAAAAATTGCTAAAATCTCTGAGAATGCAGCCCTAATGATTTTTTTAAAAAGAACTCACTCTGCAATCTAACATAAAAAGGATTTTGCTCACATTTTTAAAAGAAAATAAACAACAAAGAATTGACAATTTACACCAGATATACCACCTTCAATATTTTAGGATTACAAACTTTAGTTAGAACAATAAAATAACTTCTCTGAACATAGAAAAAAAAAGGAAAAGGGGAAAGCTACTGACAGTTTATAGCCAAAAGTGCAAAAGTGATTTTTCTTTACATTAGGAACTGTACACTCCAGATCCTCTATCCTTTGTTCCAAGTGAGCTTTCTCATAAAATGCTGTCTCTTGGGCAATCTGGTCAAAAAACATAAACAAAACACAGTGCTTTCAATGTCACTGCACTGAATTTCACACATGTTCCTATAGATAAAACTCTTTCAAACCTTTAGCCTTTCCCTCAGACTATCTCGTTCTGTGGTCATTCTTCGTAAACCAGTGAAGGCTATATCTCTTTCAGTCTCCACTCGTCGGAGGATGGCATGGGCTGTTGTTGACTTAGGAGACTTACAGCTTTTCATCATTTCTCGTCGAAGTCGAGCAATTTCTTCCTGTGCCTATTATTTAAATAGGTAGACTCCTATTTAACAAGCTTTAGAACAAACATAAATATAGCTATCTTATATCCAGTCAGTTAAAATCCAAACCTATTATCAATGTGCATGGAGTAGGATAATGGCATAATTTTGACTTTATACAAATAAATACCAGAGATGCCCCCAAAATGCAAATGGATGTATATCAAATAGAAGTTTGCTTCACAAAAAAAAATGTTTTAATTAATTTGGAGGCAGTCAATGCAAGAGAAAATTATTTACTAAGAAATACATATGGTATACTCTGTTCACTTTGTGATATAATCATGAATTCAGTACAATTCAGGTAGAATACTGGTTTAAAAAATATTATCATAGTGTTTTAGTTTTTCTCTACATAAGTGTACATACCATAGTCATTCCTAGCTACCTTTACCTTGACAGAAAGGCCCACCAATCCTTACTGACAACCCAACATATTCTCTAATACTGTTTAACCATCCTCGGTTTCAAATCTATTCTACATTTGCAGATGATTATATTTCCTACCTTGTGGCTTAAGTCCTTATCTTCCTTCCTCCCAATTGTAATTACTATCTATTCAGCTAGTCTCCAAGTCTCAGAGGAAGATAAATTACTTCCCAATTTCCATAAGCCTTCACCCGATTTCTGGACTTCATCTCCTGAAGTGTCTTCTAAGATATCCCTGACTCAACTATGATTATTTCCACTCACTTCAAATAGCACTCTCTCCCCTGGCTCTTTCTCCCCTGCCTTCAACCATGCAAACGGCTCTCATATCTTGGAAAACTGTCACTTACTCCTCTTGTGTCCATTTACCATCCTATGACTATCTTTCTCTCTCATTTAAGTGTCTCTACCATGGCTTGTTCCTTACTACACACTTCCTCATCCCACTCTAACTTGGCTCCCACACCCATCACTTCGCAGGTCCTTACAACTAAGGACCTCATCAAATCTAATGGTTCTTTCTCAGTTCCTGTTCTTGATATTTTGGCAACATTTGACATTGTCTTCAACACAATCCTTGAAATTACTTCCTCCCTTGGTCTTATACCATAGTTCTGCCTTAGCTTCCTGTCTTCTTTCATAGTTTCCTCTATCCATTGAATAAAACTTCCCTAGCTCTCATTCAGAGACTTCACCCACTCTGAAGGCTCAAAACTTACCTCTAAGCAGGTGACTTATAAATTTACCTATTCAGCTCTTGCTTTTCTCCCCACTCCAGTCCCACATTTCTTACTACCTGATGGCAATTACTACCTGAATGTCCTCCATCTTTCTGAAACCAAACACATCTTTTCCATCAATGACTTTCCTCATTCTTTTTCTATTATCATAATTCTTCAGTCACTCAAAACAGAACTTCAAACATTTCTATTCATCCCCCCTTTTGCTTAAATCAAATCTTGTCGAGTCTTCCTTGTTAGCATTCTAGCTTAGTTCTTGATGCCTCCCATGGATAACTGTAACAGCCTTCTAAAAAGTCCATGTTTTCTCCCTCATCCAACTCTTTTAAAGGAGAGATTGTTATAAAGAAGATAACATATAAAGATGTATGAGATAATACAAAATTGTTGAAATTGTAAAACTGTGACTTTGGTCATATTTCTTCTGCTTTAAAAATATAAACTGCCTATTGCTTATAAAGCAAAGTATAAACCAGTAAGGCCCAATGAACAGCCTTCTCTATATAGTCCAGAAGCTGGTAAACTACACTGGCACATAGGTCAAATCCAACCCCATTCATCCATCCCTCAGTACTCAAAACTCTACTGAGTCTAGGAAAGATTTCCTTAATCACCATAAATAAAAATATCCACTTATTTTCTTTTTACAATATCTCCTAGACCAGTGGTCGGCAAACTCATTAGTCAACAGAGCCAAGTATCAACAGTACAACGATTGAAATTTCTTTTGAGAGCCAAATTTTTTTAAACTTAAACTATATAGGTAGGCACATTGTTATTAACTTAATTAGGGTACTCCTAAGGCTTAGGAAGAGCCACACTCAAGGGGCCAAAGAGCTGTATATGGCTCGCGAGCTGCAGTTTGCCAACCACGGTCCTAGACTATTTACACTAAAATAACAAAAAATAAATACAAGGCAATATACTTTATCTCCCTAACTAGATTGCCAACATAGAAAACAATGTCTGTGAATGTTTTAAACTGTGCTCCATGGTACTCCATGGCTTAATGAGGCAGTGGGATGGATCACAGCAGCTTTTCATTAACTATTCTACACTTCAAATCTCAATATAAAATTGTCTGAAGAAAAGGAATATGGCAATGATTTGAAAATCACTTATACTACATGTAAGTATAGGATTTACAAGGCAGAGGTTTCAGTAAAATAATCTCACACCTTACACTAATGCACACAGGCTTCTCATTAAGGGACTTCCCTGCCCCCCAGCAGTGGTCTTATAATCCTGCATACATACACTGGTTCAGGTTTCATGGCACAGAAAGACACCCGGGAGTTCCAATCAAAGCAAAGTAATCACCTACACACTTAGAAGTGGTAGAAGTGCTTTTTAAACTGCTCAAACTACAAATAAGAAAGCTAATTATAGAAGAGAATATCCATTAAATAGCTAATATAATGTTTAACATTTTAAATATAATAAAATCTTATTAAAATGCTGAGAAGAAACAGAAATAAATAAGACTAAGATTAGAAAGAAAACAGTACTGTGATTTAACCAAAAGGATTCCATGCTATGACATAGTATACCCTGGGCATTTATTTTATACTAGAGGCCCAGTGCACAACATTTGTGCACTGGAGGGGGGCGTCCCTCAGCCCAGCCCGTGTCCTAAGCCAGCAGGTGGACATCCCCCGAGGGGTCCTTAGGGCTCCCGCCACCGCCCAGCTTCTGTCTGAGCGGTGCTTTCCATGTGGGAGTGCACTGACTACCAGGGAGCAGCTCCTGCATTGAGCATCTGCCCCCTGGTGGTCAGTGTGTGTCACAGTGACTGGTCATTCCACCGTTAGGTCAATTTGCGTATTACGGTTTTATTATATTAGAATAATCCATTTCCACATGGGCCAATTCATCTTCAACAAGCTTAACTAAATGGCAAAGAGCAGACCCAAATAAGAGTCAGAAAATTTGGACTCTGAATCCTGTTGTTCTTGGGCAATCAGTTAACCTTATTAGCCCTACCTCCTCAAATATAATATGAAGCAAATAGGCCATACAATCATGGTATCCAAAGTCACTTTGGTTATTTAAAAACAGATTATTAACCTTGACTTCAAATTAAAGTAAAATCCACTGAGGCAAACTCTAAAACTTAAAAAAACACACACAGTATCTGCATCTTATCACTTTATTCCCTTAGAGTAGCAAGCTCATGACCTGCACAAACTTGCTGTAATTGATGATGTTGGTAATGTATGGAGTTTAATATCTGCTGAGTGAAGAAATGAATTTTAAGCTAAAAATAGAGAAACTACAAACTGATTTTACTCTCTGAAATTAAACAAATTATATGGCAGTTTCTAAAGTGACTGATAGTATATCAAAATGATATGTTAGCATTTTTTAATCCCCAATCTTGTATGGGTATTGGGAAATCATATATATGTGTGTGTGCACATATACTGTATTAGAAATATATTACATTTCATTGAAAATATCTTAAAAACAAAGGTATTTCCAAATAGTAAATTAATTTGATTGGCAGACTTAAGCATACCCAAAGAATTATATATCTCTACAATTAACTGTTATTACTTACATATATTGTTTCCTTATAAACAACTTTACCTGTTCATAAAGAAGGAAGGTCTTGTCTCTCTCAAATGTAAGAGTCTTGATATTACCCTGAATATCTGCCAAATGACGCTCATATTTTTCCAGCATGCATTTAAGTTCTTCACGGTCTCTTGTCTTCCAAAGCTCTACATCACAGTTTGTACCCTACAATTATTATATAAGAAATTTGAAATTCTTCTTTGACCTGTAGTATGAATAGAAAAGTACTACTGATGGCAGTACACAGTCTCCACTTAAGCAAACATCCTATAAATAAAACCCTAATATGCAAATCGACCTAAGGGCGGAACGACCAGTCGCTATGACTCGCACTGACCACCAGGGGGCAGACGCTCAATGCAGAACCTGCCCCCTGGTGGTCAGTGCACTCCCGCAAAGGGAGTGCCACTCAGCCAGAAGCCGGGCTGATGGCTGGTGAGCACAGCAGCGGTGGGAGCCTCTCCCGCCTCCACACAGCACTAAGAACCCCTCGGTGAACATCCCCCGAGAGGTCCCAGACTGCAAGAGGGCACAGGCCGGACTGAGGGATCACCCCCCCTTCACGAATGTCAAGCACCGGGCCTCTAATGACTATATAAGGTAAGGAAATGATGAAAGAAAGTTTAAAATTCATCTCTTTTAAATTTGTATTGATTGATTGGTATTAGAGAGAGCGAAAAGAAGGAGTGATAGAGGGATGGGAGGAGAGGGAGAGGGAAAGAGAAAGAAAGAGAGAGAGAGAGAGAGAGAGGCAGGCTGGGAGGGAGAGATCAATCTGTTGTTCCATTTAATGCATTCATTGGTTGCTTCTTATATGTGCCCTGACAGGAGATCTAACCCACAACCCTAGTGTATAGGGATGACACTCAAACCAACTGAGCTAGCTGGCCCAGGCCAAATTACCCCTCTTTTAAACAATTTCCCCCAAATTGCTCCACATTTGTCTGATTACCTCCCAACCATGACAAATGCTAGGGACAGAGAACCAATTTCAATGATCCACTGTCCATCAAAGAGACCTCTCTTTGATATAGCAAGTCATGCTAATCAACCTGAATTACTTCCAGATAAGCCAAAGAATAGAAGTCAGTCTTTGAGCAACAAATTCCAAAATATTTATTTATAACTTTCCAAAACCTACCCGAGAAGATGGAGACGGGCGGCTTGGACCTTCAGATGTACTTTTGATCATCTTTCTCAAATTTTGAGCTTCACTCCTGTAGTAATTTCTGTCTGCTTCTAAAGTCTTGACAAAGGAATCAAGTCTGGAAGGAGATTTATTTTGTGCTTTTTCAATATCTAAAATTATCTTGCCAGGAAGGAAAAAATTAGGCCATTATTTCAAGCTAAACTTCAGCATCATTTACTACATGAAGTCGAACACAAAAAGAATCCTTAAAAACAATAAATGTGGTAAGTTTTGAAAATAATTTTTAAAAATCGTAATTTTAAAAAAGCAGTTAAATATCTTTCTTCTCCAGCATTTCTGAATGTTCTATATATTTTTTTATTGTGACATAACATTTGACATTATTTTTTAATTCAAATTTTTTATTGTTTATAGTGTTACATAAGTCTCCTTTTTCCCCCATTGACCTCTCCCTGGCTGCTCCCACCCCCCAGCACATGACCTCATCCCCCTACTGTCTGTGTCCATTGGTTATGCTCATATGCATGCATACAAGTCCTTTGGTTGATCTCTTACCTCCACTCCCGAAATGTTCTATATTTTTATTAACCTTAAACATACCCCCAAATTTATTCAATAATTTTGAAGAAAAAATGGTAAAGAAATTTCAGAGAGGCCAGAAATGTCCACAGATATGGTTACAAATCCTAGAAGTAAAATTAATTTACTTAGAATAACTTGTATAGCAACTAAGTTTTTTTTTCACTAAGTATTCAAGGGATGGATAAATTAATGCTGGAAACATTTCTTTTACAACATTTATTTTACCAAAGCTATATTGAGAGGAAATGATAAATATATTTACAGAGGTGTTTAAATATTTTAAATAATAACATTAAAATGTCTAAACAGCAGTTTTCATTTCACATTGTTAAAGAAAACATATTACTTAGAATTAAACTAAAAATTTGACTTACAGAAATTTATTACTAAGAACAAAAGTTAATGTGTAGCCTAACTGGTTTGGCTCAGTGGATAGAGCGTCGGCCTGAGGACTGAAAAGTCACGGGTTCGATTCCGGTCAAGGGCATGTACCTTGGTTGCAGGCACAACCCCAGTGGGGAGTGTGCAGGAGGCAGTTGGTCGATGTTTCTCTCTCATCGATGTTTCTAACTCTCTATCCCTCTCCCTTCCTCTCTGTAAAAAATCAATAAAATATATTTTTTTAAAAAAGTTAATGTGTAGACAAACTCATGTTATATTTTGAGAATTAAATTACTCAGTTATCATTCTAAATCAATTAACAGCTAAGGGCATTAAAAAAAACAACCAAAAGTTCTTTCCACCTCTAGGAGTACTGATGACACGAAGCAAGAACAGCATTGCTCTTACAGATGGGAGCGCCCTTGTGCACCCGGCAGAGAGAAGGCTGACTGTAGAACACAAACATTTTTTATTGCTCACAAAATTCATGAGAGTCAAAACATATGTACAATTTTTTGTAGTTTTTACTATACTAACAAAATAAAAATTATTCCTTAAGAAAAATGTACTTACAGATCTAAGTCTTCCTATTGTATCTTCCAATACTATCATATTATTTTGTTGGCAAGTGAACTCAATCTGAAAATCGAGCCAAAAGAAAAAATACTTGGATTTTAAATATTTGAGCTGATTTAACTGGAAAGAGAGCATCAAAAGAGTAAGCCACTTAAAAATAAAAACATGAAGACAGTGAATATTTTACAAAAGAAAAGATACACTACCTCTTTATGTTTACCTAGGGGAGAGAAGGGGGTGTTAGTAGTAGTTGTGTGTGTGTGCGTGCACTTTGGAGGGAGGAGCACTTTATTTCATCTTTGATTTCAAATTACAGTCATGCTGGATAGAGCAGTCTTGATTGCAGGTACTTGCTTTTCATTACTTTGAATACTTTATGTCAATCCCTTCTGGCCTGAAGTGTTTCTGTTGAGAAATCAGCAAAGAGCTTTATGGGAACTCCCTTATAGGTGAATGACTATTTCTCTCTTGCTGCCATTAAGATTTCCTCTTTGTCTTTAACCGTGGCCATTTTAATTGTGATGGTTTTGGTGTGGGTCTGTTTGGGTTCATCTTGATTGGGACTCTCTGTGCTTCCTGAACTCGCGTGATATTTTCCTGAATCAGGCTAGGGAAGTTTTCTGTCATTTCTTCAAACAGGTTCTCTTTCACTTGCTTACTTTTTTCTCCTTTTGGTACCCCTATGATGCGGATGTTATGTTTCATACTTTCCCAAAGTTCCCTTCAACTATCCTCCTGCTTTTTTTTTTTTTAAAGGTAATTAAGGACTTGTATGCATGCATATAAGCATAAGTGATGGATGTGGACAACAGGGGGTGAGGGTGTGGGTGAGGGCAGGATTGGGGGGATGAGGGGACATTGCGTGGATAAGGACACATTTGTAATATCTTATTCAATAAAAGGGAAAAAAGGAAGGTAATTAACCTTTAGAGAGAGATAAAGGGAAAAGGAGCAAACATTGACGTGAGATGTTTTGATCCACCAAGCAGGGATCAAGCCCACAACCCAGGACTGTGCCCTGATGGGAAATCAAATCGGCAACCTTTCAGTGCATGGGATGACACCTAACCAACTGAACCATACTGGCCAGGGCTCAGTGGTGCAGTCTCCTTGAACTCCTGAGTTGGCTGCTCTAGGGAATGTCTTCAGTGTAGGTTATTTGGGCCCTCTTGTTGTAATTGGGTCTTGGTTGCTGTTGGCCTGTTTGTGGGTGGGATCAACTGTCAGGCTGGCTATGAGTCTCAACCCAACCATGGCATGTAAACTGCTGTGCAGGTGCAGTCTTGACATGTCTTGTTAGGCTCAGCGACACAATCATTAACCCTTCAAGCTGGTTGTCTGTAGAGGTAAACCTGATCACCATGTAGGAGACACTGTGCAGGCACTGCCCTCTCCCCTGCCCCCTCAGGGGAGGTTGTTCCCCGAGGGTCTGGAGCCTGAGATACCTCGTTGTGTGTGCCATTTGTGTGTCTAGGTGGGTCAGCTCTGGTGTGGTCTGAAGCCCATCACTAGTTGTGTTGATTCTGGGTCCGCTTGGGTAGGTTTCAGATAAAGGTCACTGACCTTGGGCTACCTGTCTATAGCTAGCTATCTGTGCGGAGAGAAGGATTAGGGAGGAAGAGAAATGTCCTGTATACAGAATACTCTTATTGCTTAAAGTTTTTATCATTACTACATCTTACTTAGGAAATTATCTTAGCAAAAATTTTTAAAATAAAATGTAAGACACAATATAATTTAATCCCAGAACAGACATTTAAATATAATATCAAACCTAAAAAACTTTCAAATGATATGAGAATGTCACTTTTTCCATTGCATTTAATAATTACATGATGTAAAGTAGAATTAAAATCTTCATCAGTAGTCAGATGTTAACTAGAATGACTGTGGTCATTTCAATAATATATATATATCCTATCTAATCTGATAAAAGACAAAAAGGGTAATTGACCGTACCTTTGCTACACTTCCCATGGGCTAATCAGGGTGATATGCAAATTAACTGCCAACAAAGATGGCAGTTAATTTGCATACGTAGGCTCCAAGTGGTGGAGCAAAGCCAAACGGCCCCGAAGCCGGCTGAGCAGCGAGGCCTCACAGCCCCAGGATCAGCGGAGCCATGAGGCCTGATGGCTGGGGAGGGGGGCTCTGGCAGGAGCCCAGCCAGAGTGAAGGCCTGGGTCCCGGGTGCCAGAGGAAAACTGGTGCCAGCAGGAAGGCCTACTGCACGAATATCTTCGTGCAACAGGCCTCTAATAAATATAAATACACACACACACACACACACACACACACACATATATGTAATCATTATGTTGTACACCTAAAACTAATATAACGTTATATGTCAATTATACATCAATTTTTTAAACCTATCAGTGGTAAATCTAATACCTTTGCTTCTTCAGCTTCCTTGTTGAGGATATCCACCACAAAACTTTTCTCTTTTTCTAGTTGCTCTGCTAGTTGGTCAATTCTAATCAATTCTTTACAAAGATGCTCATTGTGGCTCATTAAATTGTCTATTGACGCTTACCACCTCCTCACTATCCAAGAGTTTGCTAACATATCTTCCAAACCATGATTTGTCTGTCTGAGATCTTCAATCTGTTATCATTAGAAAGAAAATAATCATATTAAAATATTTCCTTAGCTTCCCCTCTAAAAACAACCAGGTGACTGGAACCAGAAATGTAGGTTTGCTCCCTGGCAAGGAGACTGAACTATCTATCTTTTTTTGCTTTATAAATTTTATGCCATGTGAATATTTTCCCTTCTGAAGAAATAAAAAAGAACTTAATTACTTTTGATTTTCAACCAAGCTATTAGAAAAATTGTCAAATATTTATATCTGTAAGAAAAGAAACCATGGTCTTAAGATTATTTCATTTTAATAATTAGTATCATCAATTAGGCCTTCCTTATAACTAAATTTCTGTTGTTACCTAAATATGTTAACTGTTCACAAAAGTCCTTTTGAACGCATCAATAACTTACTTGACTAAGCTAAATACCAAATCAATCAAATATTTGTGACTAATACAGAAGATCACAAATTTCCTTTCCAGCCCACTATCAAACCATCAAGGAATGAAGAAAAGACCTTTTTATCACAAAGACATCCAAATGCCTTTAAGGGGAAAAATGTATGTATTAGACCCACTGAACAATGATTGTATGTCAGGAACTATGCTAAATTCCAAAGATACAAAGCCAGGTTAGGTATCTGCCTTCAGAGAATTTATTGTTTCCTTGGGAAAACACCAATAAAATACGTTAAGTGCCATAAAAGAAATACCTATGAGATAAATGGCACAGAGATCCTTCTCTATAGTATTTGCCTCTCACTGTGTATTTAACAAACATTTCTTGAGCACCCACTATATTCAATGCACTGTTTTAGTACTCTCTGGAAGATGTAAAAATATGAAAGAAAAAAGTCTCGGTCTTTTAGAAGCATCTAAAATTGCAAGTCGCTCATCTAATTGTATTCAAATTTATCCACATTAAATTTAGTAAAGCCTCACTTCTTGGAGATATGGACTTTACCTTGGCCCTGTGGAGGGCCGCCTCGTTCACATACTCCTTATTCTGCAGCATGGTGATGATGGGCATGGCTTGGCCAATATGCACCCTGGTCACTGTGGCCTGGGGCTTCCCAAAA